TGATTTTAGATATTTTTTCTTTTGCCAAAAAAAAAAAAAAAAAAGTGAATCAACTGGAGAAAGGTTTGTTTAAAAGCTTTTACACAGATATAAAGCGATTGATTAAAGTTTCAGGTTTTTCATCCAATACTAAATGATGTACCCGCTGTTGAAAATATTATTTTAACCCTTTATACAACGTAATACTATTTTACTCAAAGTAAAGAGGACTATGGAACAACGTGAGTGTATTAAGAGTCTTAATGAAGGTTTAATTTTTTTAAATAAATATATTTCACTTTATTCTAAGTATACATTACTATATATAAAAAATGCAGTACTAATTTTTAATCAGCTCAGTTGTGGCTGTTGTTTCTTGCTCGGACTTACCGGATTTATTTTTGTTAATTACTCTCATATAAAGAAACTGTTGAAGAGGAGTTATTTAGTTTCTGTTCATAGTTTTATTTATTTTAAACAGGACATTTTTATTGCTTTGTTAATTTTTAACAGGATAAAGTGTCCAAACGCAGAGAAAAACTATATATAATAAGTCATGACTAAGAGTAACTTACGTGGCAAAAAAGGTTAAAAAGACTTTTATTTTGGCGTGGGTTGTGACGTCATAAGCCTGCGCCGCTCCGCGCTGTGATTCAACTTGAGAAAGGTTTGTTTTAAAGCGTTTACACTTATATAAACCGATTAATTAAAGTTTCAGTTTTTTTCATTCAGTGCTAAATTATGTACCTGCTGTTGACAATATTATTTTAACTCTTTATGCAACGTAGTACTATTTAACTCACAGGAATGAGGTCTATTGTTTGAATAAAGATAGGATAAACTTTTTGTCCCCGAGAGGAAATTTGTCTTGGGCAAAAAAAAGTGCTACACGTTGCTGTAAGCAGACAATAAAGTAAATAAAACAAACAACAATTAAGAACATACTCAAATAAAGTTTGACAGAAGTTACAGGGATGTAACAGTGTGTAATAAGTGTTTTTATGAAGGTTTAATTTATTAAATAGCATGTCATTCCATTCTAAGTATACATCACTATAAGAAATGGAGTACTAGTTTTAATCAGGTCATTTGTGGCTATTGTTTCTTGCTCTGATTTCTTTTTGTTAATTACTCTCATATAAAGAAACTGTTGAAGCAAGTGTTGAGGAGAAGTTATTTTGTTTCTGTTCATTGTTTTATTTATTTTAAACAGGACGTTTTTATTGTTTTGTTCATTTTAAGCAGGATAAAGTGTCCAAACACAGAGAAAAACTCCTGCTGAAGCGGCTGATCTCCACACTGTTATAAAGATGGCGTTTATTAAAGAGGAGAGTGAAGATGTAAAGATTGAAGAAACATTCACAGTCAAACATGAAGATCTGCAAGAACAAACAGGTTAGTTTTCATTCTCAAAAACCAACTCAGTCATTTGATCCTCATTCAGATATATTTTAATAATAAGAATACTAAATTAAATCCATCTTGCAGCCCTGAGTGTGCTGCCTAGTTCTCCTAAATGCACATAAGCACTCATTGAAAGACAGGAATGAGTTTCATTTGTTACTTGTTCTCATTTCTTTTGTCATTCTTTTATGTATTATTAGTCTCCCATTTTCGCGCAGCCATTTGAATCTTTTTGGCACGAGACTTCCGGTCTTTCACTTCCATTCATTTTTAGACATTAAAAACTGCTATTTTCACTGTTTGATGTTGAAAACTGATATTTCCTTAATATATTATTCTACTTGGTCTGTATAGTCATGCAAACATTTGCTTGTACAGCAAGTAGTTAGACCATTTTCTGCCGTTTATTATTCCTAGTCATTTCTACCTTAGGCGACTGAATGGGAAGTTCTAAAACAATCGCGAAAACAGACGCACTTCCGCATTTTAGAATAAGGTCAATAAATCCAGCTTCTTTCTCTTTCTATCTCTCACACACACACACACACACACACACACACACACACACACACACACACACGCACACACTATACTCCATATATAAGGCAGAAACTTTTTTGCACTGAAACTGATAATCAATTTTAAAAATCACAAATCTCTTCCCAACAGGGAAATGTAATGGTGATGTGGGAATGGTGATCCCCCCCCCAAAAAAAATACAATAAACAAATATTAAACAAATATGTTTGTCACTTGTTTTTAAGCAGTTAATCTTGGGCGCCAGGCAGAATATTTGTCAAAATACATTTCAAACAAAATATACCACGCTAGCTCTCACCACCAGTTACAAATATAAAAAATAAATAAATAAATAAAATAACAAACAATGAGAACCAGAAAAAACTCAGATAATTGCTGTAATTGTCTAAATAAAGTTTGTATTAGTCAATAATAATAATAAAAAATACTTTTCACACACAAACAGTATCTACAACAAAACAAACAATATAACAATGAAACGCAGAACCCTCAGCACTTATAACTCAAATGAAAGAAAAAAATGCAAATGATTTCAGGCCAGCAGATTCGTCACATCTGAAAACGGGGAAAATAATAATGATAACAATAGTACGGGGAGAAAACAAAACAAGAGAAACAAAATGAGCATTTGGGCAAAGAAAACAAAAACTTTTGCTTCTTACCCACGGAGTGGAGGGGTCAAGGGACATGAGTGGGGAATGGCGAATGTGGATGTGAAGGTTGAGGGTGTTGTTGAACCCAGCCGGTGAGTTGGCAGCTGACTCCATGCCAGCGAGAAAGATAAATCGGTGAGTTGATTTTGTTCAGGACACACTGCACTGAAGTCTTTTGTGCAGTGGCGTAGCGCAAAATGCGGAGGCCCCCTGATGAAGTTTGGGGGGGGGATGGATGCGTCATACGTCAATTTGCATATCACTGACGTCATCACGTTCTACTGTTTCTGTTTGTTTAACAGCCTATGGTTAATAAAGGGGTATTAATAATTGCACTACACTTTATAAAAGCATGTTTATTTAACTAAATGTATTGCTGTTTGAATACAGTATGTCATTATAGATGTGTAGTGAATGTGCAGTAATCTCTCATATGTAATAAACTCAGACAAGTTTAGAAACTGTCACTAAAATATCTGTGATTGTGAACAAGAAAAGAATAAACGGTCCAATTAAATTGTTAAAATAAAGGAGAAGTAGATCGGATTGACTGTACAAGGGAAATACCTTCACACTGCCTGTGCTAAATCATTTGTCGTCGGTACGCAGAGGGGTGATCTGCTCTCGGGCTGCAGGTGGGAGAGGCTGCTGTACGAGGACTGACTAGGCCGCCTGTCAGTGCTGTGAGGCGGGGGAGGGGCCGGCGGCATCACACGCAGCTCGTTGAGAAGAGTAGGGAGGGTACAGTATGGACAAATGACAGTCTACAAAAAAAAATCTCCAATAACACACAAAAAAGTCGATAGATTTGTCGCTAGGGGGGTCTGAAAAATCGCTAAATCTAATGACAAAGTCGCTAAGTTGGCAACATTGGCGGCAAGCAATCAGAATGAAGTAGTCCACCGCTTGAGAGGTGTTCAGAGAACACAGACCTGTGAACTTTGGTTCCGACTACAGTTGTTCCCAAGAGTTTGATTATTGCGGTTGCCGAATTATCAATTATTGAAAATCGCAACGACGCGGGGCCCCCTAATCACACGGGGCCCCCCCGCGGTGCGTGCCCTGCGGGCCCGTCCGCTACACCACTGCTTTAGTGACGCACACATTCAACGACGTCACGTGCACTTCAGTAACAAGACAGCGGCCTTTGCTCTGTTGCTTCAATACATACTTCCGCTTTTTGTTTCTCACAGCCAGTCGTTAAGTTTACACTGCTCATCTCGACCCGACTTCTCTACTCGTTTCCCCACTCTGCAACAGTTCAGTCAACTTCTCTTTCTTCTACACACCACATAATGCTGCCTTCTTTAACTCTCCTCATCCTCCTTTATTCTCTCACCCATTTCCTTTTTGCCGTCACAAAGAACACCAACAATCATAAATTCATGAATATGTGCTGTCATGGCTTTGCAATAAAAAATGTTCTTTTAATAGAGGTCAATGGAGAAAAAACAGCCATGAATATAATGAAAAGGGAGTAAATTTGCCCAGAGTGTATTGAGGTTTTTAAAAAATTTTTAAAGCATTTTCCCATTGATGGGGACTTCATTGTGTCTTGATGAATTTATTACTCTCATTTATATGCTTATTTGAGTGATTTCCATGTTGTTGTTGTTATTATTATTTATTGTATTTTATTTGCACTATAAAAATTTTTATAATAGAGGCCAATAGAGCATTTTTCCAGAATATGTCAAAATAAGATGTCCCCAAATATTAGTCCATTTGCTGAAACACCGAGAACGTTTTGGCCAAATTAAGCCTCAAAATCACCCCGGAATGGATGAAAATGACCCAACAGCACACAAGGGGAAAGGTGCACATTCCAGCCTTTATGCAGATGCTGTACAGGTATGTCTCATATCTGTGAGGCAAATATTCAGCTGTTACCCCAGAACTTTTTTTCTGATACATTTACCAGTCAGGCACACAATGAACAAGTGTTCCCTGTCTGCTTTACAAATCGTAGAAATCTTTGTTTTATCAATATGACCAAAATGACTTTTATGAAAAACTCTGAAAACTGGACTGACACTGTTTAAATTTACTATAACTTCTATGTTAAGCAGCTTTGACACAATTTACATTGTAAAAGCAGTAGATAAATAAAGATGAATTGAATTGAATCTGCCTAAATGTGTACACGTTAATGGACCAAACAAAATATGATCTGATTTATTTTACATTTAATGTGCATCAAAATTACAGTGTGTGTAGCCAATGTTTTCAGTGTCTTTTCACTTTTCAGCTTTTGATGAGAGTTTTTAAGACTTAATGAAAACTAATGTTTTATTTATTTCAGACCTAATTGAAGAGAATGAGGAGAGTAAAGAGGAGGAACATCATGTCAAAATTGAGGAAAAAACTCAATTACAGACTGATGGTGTTTTAAAAAGGAGAGACAAGAATCGTTTCACCTGCACTCAGTGTGGAAAGAGTTTGGCAAACAAAAGCAAACTTAAGATTCACATGAGGATTCACACTGGAGAGAAACCATTCACATGCACTCAGTGTGGGAAGAGTTTCAACATATCATCTCACCTTAATCACCACATGAGGATCCACACTGGAGAGAAACCATTCACATGCGCTCAGTGTGGGAAGAGTTTCAACCAATCATCTCACCTTAATTATCACATGATGATCCACACTGGAAAGAAACCATTCACATGCACTCAGTGTGCGAAGAGTTTCAACCAATCATCACACCTTAATCTACACATGATGATCCACACTGGAGAGAAACCATTCACATGCACTCATTGTGGGAAAAGTTTTAACTGCTCATCACACCTTATTCAACACACGAGGATCCACACTGGAGAGAAACCATTCACATGCACTCAGTGTGGGAAGAGTTTCAGCCACTCATCACACCTTAATCTACACATGAGGATCCACACTGGGGAGAAACCATTCACATGCACTCAGTGTGGGAAGAGTTTCAGCCAATCATCACACCTTAATCTACACATGAGGATCCACACTGGAGAGAAACCATTCTCATGCACCATTTGTGGGAAAAGTTTTAACTGCTCATCACACCGTAATCAACACATGAGGAGCCACACTGGAGAGAAACCATACACATGCACTCAGTGTGGAAAGAGTTTCAGCAAATCATCATCCCTTAATAAACACGTTGAACGAACTCATGGGCATATTGCAGTGGTCAACACAAGCTGAATCTGAAATCCTGGGCATCTGCAAATTGTCTCTGTCATTAAACTGGCTTAAGGGCTTAAACCATCACGATAACAAAGCACCAATACTTTGGCCGCAGATGTTCCAGGTACCCTTCAGCAAAATTAGTAAATGATTTAAACTAAACAAAGGGGCTTTACAGGATTTTCAGCAGGAACCGCCTCACAAGACTTTTAAATGACTCCTCTACATGGTCATGTGCTTTGGGCACATCCTGTCAGATGCACAATTTCATAGAGACAAAGAGATCTCTAGAAACATTAATGCATACAAATGAAAGACAATCTCTTAAAATATTAGAATGTTTTAACCCTTAAAGCAGATTAAATTGATCTGCGTGTGTCTGAAATGTATGATATCTGGTCTTGAATGAAAGCTAGTGACATTTGCAATCTGTTGGTTTAAATGAAAAACTAGTAGTACAAACAGTATTCATCTTGTAACATTTGATGTAAGATAATTTTAATCTTGCAAGAGTTTTACCATGTAAAATTTACATGCAGTGTGTTAATGATTGACCCTTTCTACGTGGGCACGCGGTGTGGCCCCGCCCTTCATGGCAACTGCTCATTGGCAGGCAGTGCCATAGGGATGGATCAGACCAGGTCACTTAAAAACACCCTGCAACAAAGAAACTTTGCTTTGAAACCGCACGAACTTCCGCAAACCGACTTTCAGCAGTCCGTCACCTCAGTAACCCAGAACTACCCACCCACGAGCGAGGGAATTCCAAGGATGTCACAGAAGCCACCAGCCAATCAGGAGCACTGTGTTTCCCCAAGGCCAACTGGTGAGGGAGATTCATCTTCAGCAAAGGTGCAAGTAACAAACAAACGTTGTCTCTTGCTGATCTGGAGCAGATTGATCGTAAGCAGTTAAAGATAAGCCATATCTCTGCTTTTGTGGTTTCTCAGGTGTGATTCTAAGATCTTGTTAGAAGTTTGTAACGAACAAACGTTACATGCTTTGTGTTACAAGGTGGTGTTACAAGTTTTAGAATGAATTTGGGATGGTTGTTAACTCATTTTACATCCTCTGAACTGCCTCTGTGTGTGCGAGTTTGTTTGTTGTTTGCTTATTACGTAGTTAGTTTCATGTATCGTAGTGTAGCTCAATAAATCTTTGTTCTCATTTTGTAAGAATTGTGTTCTTGTTTATGTGCTTCTAAGTGATTGCCTCGAGCTGTAGATCTTGTTACCTTGCTAAAAGTTAACTCAGTACTGTGTTATGTTATTACCGTTGGCCACGTAAATAATATTAACAAGATTGGTAAGATACAATGACTTCAATTTGCAAGACAAATGGTAGATAAAGTGTGAATCTTTTAATCTGATTCAGTCTGACTCAATTGAGTCAAATCAATGATACAAATCTTTAAGATCCGGTACATTGAAATGAGCTAATAAACCCTGGTCGATCTTAAAATGTAGGTTGATCCCCTACCACATGATGAGCCGTACTGTAGAGAAACCATTCACTTGCACTTAAGCCACGGTCACACTGGACTTTTCTCCCCATAGATTTCCATTCATACGCACGCGAATGCGCCAGACCTGAAATGCAAGTTTGTTCATCAAGTTTTGCAGTTCACTGCATTGGAAAGTTCAAGCTTGGTGAACTCTGACCTGCGAAATCACATCACTTGACAGTGTGAGACCAATCGAATATCAAAACATGACTTCTCTGGACAGAAATGTAAAATATGGACCAACCGCTCTCCTTTTTAATGTCTAAAAATCTTATTTAATCCCGCCCCTTTTTGCAGTGCCGTACAACAGAATTTTTCATGCTCAATGCTCTAATGTGACCGCAGCTTCGGTGTGGAAAGTTTCAGCAACTCCTCAGACCTTAATAAATGTATGAAGACCCACACTGGAGAGAAACAATTGACATGCACTCAGTGTGGGAAGAGTTTCAACGAATCAGCAGAAGAGTTTCAACGAATCAGCAAAACTTAATGACCACATGAAGATCCACACTGGTGTGAAAGAGTATGTGTGCTTGAGTGTGTAAAGACTTTTATTACAGCTTCAAAATTTAAACTGCACCAGGCGATTCACACTGGAGAGACCGTATAAGTGTTCACAATGTGACAAGAGGTTTAATCACTTAACACATCTGAAAACACACACTGGAGAGAAACCGTACAGATCTGGGGCCTCATGTATCAACGCTGCGTACGCACAAAAACTTTGCGTACGCCAGGTTTCACGCTCAGAATCGCTCACGTTTGGATTCACTAACAATGAACTGAACGTGGGAATGTGCGCAGCTTCATGGCAGCTTTCTGGCAGGCGTACGCACATTTTTTGTGTGTGTCTGTTTTATTTCCATTGGCGACTCCTAGAGGCAGTTGTGTTAAATTCCATTCTACAAAGTGTCTGAGCCTTGCAATGGCAGCTGTATGAGACGGGTTCATCTAGTAGGTATGTAAGGTTTCCATACCATACATTTGACCAGCTAAACATTAAAGCACAATTTGCAGCAGTCGCCTGTTTTCCCAATGTAATCTGAGCAATCTACCGCACGAACATTGCTATAAAGACACTATTTGAAGATGAATTTGCATGCGTGAATCAGAAACATTTCCATTCAATAAATGTGCAAATAAAATATGATGCTTATTGATATGAACTTATTGATGATTCCTACTTGTCTTTCTCGTGATAAATAGTTGGCAAAATCTGATATGTAGCGGGGAAAAAACAAGAAAGAGTTCATCAGACACTGGATTCGAGCCGAGTTCATGCTCGAACGTATCAATTCATGATCACATGTATGGCGGCATATCAATGCCAATATTAATCGAGCGCAGAGGTGATGTTTGCGCGCGAGGAGAAGTGAACCGTGATCAGATTACAGGTTTACACGCGAGAAAACAACAGCTCGCGAGCGCACAGGGGATCTTCACGCGCGCGCTCAACTGATCCAGCGCGAGAAAACAAGTCCCGCGCGCGCACATCATCATCTGTGCGCACGATATACGCTCTCGCGAGCGAGGTCATGCATACAGAGCGCGCGCGATCAGTTCTCTCCGCTCGCTCGCTGGTTCTTCTCTCTGCTCGCGCGAAACAGTTAGATTTTTGTCAGTCCTGGGGCGGGACTTGGTTCACTTTTTATCTCTAGCGCTATTGGCTACTCTACCTTTTCGGAAGTTAGCCGGGATTGGACGCCGATTAAACGACGAACCATAATTCACGTGATCTTATCACCACGTAAGTTATCATTTTTATAAGTTAGTAGCACGTAAGTTATCATTTCATTTATTATGAAAATTATTGCCTTTGTTAGAAAAGGTAGTTATTAGAAACTTTATTAACAGGCGCCCTGTTTACTGACATATTGTCTTGTTAAATCGACTAATCTACTTAATCTTTAATTTATATTTAATTTACACAAAGCAAATTAAAATTTTTATTATGCTTACTTTGTAGTCAAAGTATCAATACTTCATCAGTATATGCAATTGCACCATTGAAGGTAATAAAACTACATTATTCACAAACTAGTGTATACTTTATATTTGGTATTCTGTTCAAATAAAGTATATAGCATTGCACACTGTATTTTTTCTTTCACATTTAAGTTTTCATTATATAAATTTTGTTTAGAGGGTGCACCGCAAAAAATGCTTTTCTTGTTTGGATTTTGTCTTGTTTCTAGTATAAATATCTAAAATCTCTCATATCAAGAAGAATTTTCTTGACGAGCAAAACATATTGTCTTGTTTTGAGAAATAATATGCCAATGTGAGTTTTTCCTTTAAACAAGCAAAATAATCTGCCAATGGGGTAAGCAAATTAATCTTGTTTTTTCTTTTGACGTAAGATTATTTTGCTTACCCCATTGGCAAAAACTCAATTAATATTAACATATTATTTCTCAAAACAAGACAATATGTTGTGCTTGTGTAGAAAATTCTTCTTGATTTAGGAATTTTTAGATATTTGGAATAGAAACAAGACAAAAAATCTAAGTAAGAAGAGCATTTTTGCAGTGAGTATACTTACAGCATTATTTATTATGATTTTGATAGTTTACAAAGAGTAATTTCTGTTTCTGATGGATTACATCTTTTGCTAATCTGTATTTTGCAGCAGATTCTAAAAAAGCATCTTTTGGAAGACATTCTTTCCAAGTTTGAGAGAACACTTTTGAGATCTCCACTTGATGTGGATTACCTGACGTTTGTGTGTCGCCAGCAACTGTATCTCCTGCAAGCACTTTCAAGGCATGTGGAAATTTCCCAGGAAATAATGCAGGCTTTGCAGCAAGTGTTTGAATTGGCACAACAACCATCAAACTTCATGGTTTCCCGAGCAGTGATGGAATTAACTGGCCTGAGAGGTCGTCCAAAGTTTGCTATTGGGAGAAAAGAATTGGAGGAGTTGCTGCAGACAAACCTTCCTGTGCCCTGCATTGCAAAAATAATAGGCATTTCTACTAGAACGGTCTTCAGAAGGATGAGTGAGTTTGGCCTTTCCGTCTCAGGGCTGTACAGCAGCATTACTGATGAGGAGTTGGATAATACTGTAAAAGCCATTAAAGATGACATGCCTGCTGCTGGCTACAGAATGGTCAGAGGCAGGCTGTTGTCTTTAGGCATGCGTGTGCAGTGGCAGAGGATAGCAGCCTCTATGCACAGAGTTGATTCAGTGGGAATCCTGTCTAGAATGGCTAGATTGGGATGTGTTGTGCGAAGAACATACTCTGTTCCAGGGCCCCTGTCTCTTGTGCATGTAGACACCAATCACAAATTGATACGGTAAGTTTTTAAGTTTAAATTTATTTATTTTGAATTGCATATGTTTTTCTAACAATAGAAAAGTATTTAAAAGCCTTGGATTATAAAGTTAGCCAAACAAAATTACAATAACAGCGCTCTTGCCTCACAGCAAAAAGGTCGCTGGTTTGAGCCTCAGCTGGGTCAGTTGGCGTTTCTGTGTGTAGTTTGCATGTGTTACGTAGGTTTCCTCTGGGTGCTCCGGTTTCCCCCACAAGTCCAAAGAAATGTGGTACTGGTGAATTGGGTAGGCTAAATTGTCCATAGTGAATGAGTGTGTATGAGTGTTTCCCAGTGATGGGTTGCAGCTGGAATGTCATCCGCTGCATAAAAACATATGCTGAATAAGTTGGTGGTTCATTCCACTGTGGCGACCCCAGATTAATAAAGGGACTACGATGAAAAGAAAATAAATTATTGAAAATGACGACAACTTTTTAAAAATTCAAAACGTTTGTATTGCTATTTTTTTCTATCTTGGAAATAGATACAACATTGTGATATTTGGTGGTCTGGATGGTTATTCCAGGAAGGTATGTTTTCATTTATTTTTTTTAATGATGTCACCTGATATTAGACCTATTTCTATTACAAATTCACTACGAAATTTTTTTTTATGTATTTCTACAAATGTGTACTTATTGTTTTTATTTTTTATTTGCAGATTATGTACTTGAATGCAGCAAACAACAACCTGGCATCAACAGCATTTCACTTCTTCACAGAAGCAGTTCAAAAATTTGGCTTACCGTCAAGGTGTGCGTAGTTGTATAAATACAAACAAAAAAAGTTTTTTTTTAAAAATGTTTAATATTCTTCTCACATAAGGGTAATGGGAGACCATGGAGTGGAAAACGTAAATATAGCCAGGTTCATGTTTTCTTCAAGGGGCACTGACCGTGTAAGTTTCATAGCTGGTAAAAGTGTCCATAATCAAAGGTAAAGTACAATTGTCTAAATTTTATAAAATGTTTTCATTTTTTTATTTTATAAAATGTAATCGCTTCATAAATATTATTTTAGTAAACTTACTTATACTTTGACCAAAAGTTTTTAGTATGTTATTAACTTTATACAACATGACATTGCATGTAGTTTTATTTTTTGAATTAGTACATCAGTCGGTATAGCAGCTTGTTATTAAAAACTATTTTAATATATTAGTATTTTGATCATTTTAGATGTCTTCTCTTTGTTGCTTTTTTATCTGATTGTGTTTCTAATAGGATTGAACGCCTTTGGCGTGATGTCAGAGTTGTGATAAACAAGTACTTGGCCATGCTACACTCCCTGGAAGCTGAAGGATTGCTGGATTTATTAGC